TTGGATTTTCCATATAGCTCAACGAGCCTAGTCCAAATAAGATGAGCACTCTCCAGCGGTGTTTGTCCATTGAAAATTGCCTCATCTAGAATCTCTGCACTCAATGTACTCAAAATGACATTAATTGCTTGAGCATTGAGTTACATGCATCTCTCTTCCTCTTTTGGCATATTTTTGTAGTTGATCCAATCAGCTATAGGAAGAGGGATGCTTGCATCCACAATACGCTCAACAAGAGGACTGATAGTCCTAAAAGCATTGAGTACATGTAATGACCAAGATAGAAAGTTTGAACCGTCATTTTGGAGAAGCACGGGCTCCAACTCAATAGGCGTCGACATCCTTTTCTTTCGGCGGTGAAGCTTTTAGTGAGACCGCGATCTGATACCACTTGAAAGGACCTAGGATGCCGCCTAGAGGGAGGGTGAATAGGCATTTTTAAAAATTAATACCTTGAAATACAGAAATGATTAGAATGAGAACTTCCAATTGCTTGGAAGCTCCAAAATAGAGTAAACTAACCCTTCACAAACTAAACACAACGTATATAGCAAGTACTAAACAAATACATGAGCCACGACCCTGCAACACAAAGATTAGAGTGGAGAACAACTCAAATCAGCACAGGTGATAAATACCGGACATGTCTGAGATGCACGGGGTCAGCACACCAAGCTCCAAACTTGCTGCCTTTGATTCCAATCTTTTTGTCCAAGTTGTAGGGATCTACTAAGAGTTGTATCTCACAAGATACACTTGCACACGAGCTAGCACAAACCAAGTGGATCACAAGTATCAAATGAGAGAGAATTGAGACACGATATTTGTTTTACTGAAGTTCGAACTTCGTCGAGTCCTACTCTCCGTTGAGGGGGCTGCGAGCAACCCAGCAAAGGTTAGCTCTAGAGGACCATGAAGGTCACTCTAGCTGGAGTCTTTTCCAACTCCTTTTCCTCCTTCCACTAGTTGATCCCTTCCCTTGCGGCGGTGGAATCGAACCGTTACAAACTTTTCGAGGCACACCACAATCTCTTGGGTGCTCTCCAGCAACGCCTAGCCGTCTAGGACCGAAGAGTCCAAGAGTAACAAATGTGAATCATGAGATCGACAATATGCAAAAGTGCTAAGTGGTGGCTTACTCTCAAATTTGAATCTTCCTCAACAATTGGATTTTGCAAATTGGATCACACACTCACTAAGAGAGGGTTGGAGAGTGTTCTCAAGGCTAAAAAATGTGTATGGGAACCATCAGAATCAGCAGCCTACAAAGGTGGAGGCTTGGGGGTATTTATAGACCCCACTCAAAAACTAGTCGTTTTCTAGCCGTTGTAATACCGGACACGTCCGTCCGGTATTGGTCGTACAACCCCAACGGTCACAAAGTCAGTTGAACTGCGAGATGTTGGAACTCCCAACGATTGCTGGGACTTCCGACCCCTAGAACTCCCGACGATTGTCAAAACTCCCGATGAGCTAAACCAAGACCAACGAAGAAGTCACCAGGGTCATGTCAAAACTGAACACATTCGGTATTGTCAACCACAGCAAACTGAGTTAGCTCTTAAGTCTCTCAAACACTTGATCCTCACATAGGTTGGCTTGAGCACTTATGAATAATTATCTATCAACATGATACATCCCTCTTAATAGTACATCATGCCTATTTACTCAAGATCAAATGAAAATGGAGTTTGAAACATTTGAGTTGATTTCCTTTGAACCACATGCCATAGCTTCTTGATCATCAACAATGTGAGGATGTCACCATGTCAATTTTGATTTTCGTTTTGAGCATAGCCATCTTGAGCATGTGACTTGGTTCCATTCAACAAATGTGAGTTAACTCCAAATGTATCAAGTCACTTCCACAATTCATCCAATGTGTTTGATCCTCCATTTCACTGTGACCATCATAGTTTGATTGGTACCTCAACTAAATGCAAGTACTTCCTTCTTCACCCTAGCTAGGTTCCTCGGTCTCCAAGCCATCGCTCGTCCTTCACCCTTGCTTAGTACCTCGAAGCCTTCCCTTGCTATCTTCACCATCTCAAGCCATCAAGTCACACTTGGTGTTGAATCATTCATTAAGATCATTTGTATAATTGTCTTTCAATATAGCAAGCTCTAAAAATTGAGACCATTCCATATGCAATCCATCATGTCTCATTAATTATTTTTCAACATGCTTGCTTTCATATGAGTCATCGAAATCCCATAATGAATAAGCCTTGCATGAGCTACATTTGCATTGTTGTCTTGTGTTTGAACTAGATTGTTTATACAACAACACATCATTTTGGCTTTCATCAAATACCTGTGAGATAACCCATTTCCTGTCCAACACTTAGCAAACGGGTTATACCTTTAATCACGTTGTCATTCAATCATCCAAAACCCACTAGAGGGCTTGATGCACTTTCAAAGGGCCACCAGAGCAAAATGCAGGAAGTGCCACCGAAGGACGCGCGACAGAGGTAGCGGAAGGAGCCGGAGGGGAGAGTGGGACCCACGGGATCCATGCCGGATGAAAGAGTTGGGAGCCACGGGCGTCGCTCGCGTGGGGCGGGAGCCGCCGCCTCCTACTTCCTGCCTACGGGGGAACGTGCTCGCACGGTAGGGCAAAGGAGCCGCTGGGGGAGGAGCAAGGGAGGCCTCCTCTTAGACTTCGGGAGAGGAGCACCACACCCACGCATCGCAGAGGAAGCCTGCACGGGGCGGGCGGAGCGTTGCCATCGCCATTTTGTACGTGCGCGTAGGATGGGGTCCGGGGTGTTGGGCCAACAGGAATGGGGTCTGGAGGGAGGATTTGGGTGCCCAGCCAAATATGGGGTCTGTAGTAGGGCCCCTACTTGAGTGATGTTTTTAGCCTAGCTACCCATATTTAGCTATGGGGGCTCAAGTAGGGGTCCTGCTGGAGTTGCTCTCAGATTGTTTCTTTTTGTAAAATCTCCATTCATTCCATTGCTATTTTGCAGGAGCATAGCTCCATGAGTGCCTCAATGAAATGCTAAGATGGACAGAGAATTTTATGAGCTAGTCTCTGCTTTATCCAATGATCGAAGGGACCAAATGACCTCTGGTATAGACTTTATACATTTAGTACCACTAAATATTTTCTCCGCATCAAAAAATTATGATGTGTTGTAGCATGTTGCATCAAACAAAATTAGGAAAGCCACAATTTTTTGTAGCCTCATGTTTGCAGTACAATGTTTCTATTATGCTTAAACTTACATGATCTTTTATTAAGTTAAGAAGGTGTATTTTGTAGTTATCAGCAACTTGGCATATTAGTACTGATAGTGATTCCATTAATATCCACCAATTGTACTGTAATCTAATCAAAGGTTGTAAGTTCTTGTTTTATTGAATGCACCATGGCTAGTTCATACGTATAAACTAGAGCTACTATGAACTTGGGGTTTCTGTGTTGATGTTACAATGAATGATAGCCATTTTCTGTTGTACTGTGTTTAGTTACATAAATTTTACAAAATGCCCACTTTTATTTGTACAGGTGAAATAACAACCAGGTTCCGTTCACGTCCTCTCGAACTGAGAATGCACGTGATCAATTGGAATCAGATGTGGCCATGGATGAAAATAATCAAATAAATGTTGCAGCACACAACATTGAAGGTGTTTTGCTAATCTAAAACATGCATCTTTACACTCTTGTTTATTTCGCTAATATAGCTAGGCTCTGTAATACTGATCTAGAGTTAGTGCTGAGGTTGCTCAGCTGAGCACCGTGAACAAGGTTTGGAAGGCCAAGTCTTGACGGTGGTCGAAATAAATACACAGTTACAAGAAGAGCAGCAATCCCAACGTGATGAGCTTAGTTCTTTGCATCGAACACAGAGCAGAAGTTATGCGTCTAGTGAGAGAACAACTTGAATTTATTGAGTAGGTTGGCAACGTTACAAAATTCGCTAGCTCCAGCTGTAAGATGAGCATAGACCTTGCTTATAGCAATTAAAATGTGACAACTTACTACCAGAACCAACCAATATATTTGTTGGCATTTTTAGGCCCTGTTTGGGTCCAAACAGTTAATAGTTAGCCGCTAATAATTAGTTTCTTTGGATCCAAATGGGTCAAGCTAATTGTTAGCTACAGCTAAAACTATCTCACTAGTTAGGCCAACCAGCTAATAGCATCTAATAGTTAGCTAGCTAATATTAGCTATGAATTATTAGCTAGCTAACTATTACTCCGTAGTAGCTAATGGATCCAAACAGGACTTTAGGTCTCGTTGAATTCACAAGCCTCAACCTACATCCCCATGTACGCTAGTGCTTCATTTTCCAATCCCTAGCTAGCTGTGCATGGAGGGCACCATGGATGGGACCCTCGTCTCGGAGGACCGCCTCAGGTCGCCTCAGGTGCGTATCTCAGGGCCTCACTAACACTCAAGATTTCGTTAGTTTTGACGCCTTGCTGACCCTCAGGATGAATTCGTTCAGTTTCTGGCGTGACCATGTTCTGCACGACATGCACCAGCGCTTGCAGCCATGGATCATGGAGAGCGACGAGAATGACGACTTAGGCAATGTCCTCTTCTACTCGCTGGTCTCTGGGTACTACTACCTGATCCACATCGAGGAATTTAAGGCTCTGTTCGGTAGGGCTTATTTTGGCTCTGGCTGATTTGTTGTGAGAGAAAAACACTGTTTTCTGGCTGGCTAATTCTGGCTGATAAGATCAAGTGAACAGAGCCTAAGGGCAGAAGGGTGGCTGGGTACGGCGCTGGTCTCCTCATCGGGATTAACAAGGACGATGATCTGTCGGCCTTGCTTGTGAACCCGCTGACCGGGGAGAACACCGAGCTACCGCGTCTGCCAGATCATTTTCGCAGAAGATTCACGTATGGCTTTGCCACGGACCCAGACATGATGGGCGAGAATGAAGTCGTCGTCGTGCTGCACAACCAGCCGACCTAGGAGGCACGTAGCAAGGTCGCTCTGTGGCGCCATGGCGATAGTGCCGGTTGGGCCACAATGCCTTCGGAGGCATTTTGGATGCGCATGCCGCAACTCAGGGGCTGTTTGCTCACCCATGGTCCGCAAGTTGTAGAGGGCGAAGAAGCTGCAGCCGCCGCCTCCACCGCCGCAAATGCTTATGACCACCGCGACATGGGAGATGGATGGCTCCTAGGCATGCAGGGCAAATACATCATCGAGCATGAGGGCCATGTGTGCGTCCTTGTCCGGCTGGAACAGCCGAAAATTGTTGGTGATGTAGTACTAGAGGGACCGGTAAGGCCAGGTGACCCACTTCCACGTCTGTCCTTTGAGCTGCGCAACACTCTTGCCGCCGATGGGGAGGCAATCGACTGGGCTGATGCACCGGAGCTGCATGACAAGATCATCTTCCAGAGCCAGGACAACAGCTGCTACGTGCTCCCAAAAAGCGACCACTTTATCGGGATAAGAAAGAACTTCATCTACTTCTTCAGCTGGCAGCGCCAGGAGGCGGCTGTGGGAGATGGTGGTGCTTGTGGCGGCAATCCTTTTGGGTACTTCTTGTGTAAGTGGGATATGATCGGGCGCGTTGCCACTGTCGTGAGGAAGCTCCCTGACGTCTGGATGTGGCACAAGCCCGCCAGATGGTTACTGCCTACTTTCAAGTACTAGACGCCGGGATTCTTAAGTCCCACGGCTCTAGGCTTGAGTTCCAGAGGAGTGCACGCATCTATCTTATGTCATGTCATGTCATGTTATGAGACTCATGTTGTGTGAGCCAATGTTTGGCTTTATTTCATTCTATGCATCTGCATATCTATCTTAGGGAGTCATGTCATGTTTGCTTTTCCTAATTAATTTTCATCAAGAATATCCAGTTGCTTGTTTGTTTTCTCTGATGATACCTTCTATATATATATATTTATATTTATATGTTGAATAACAATTCCAGATCTACAATTTATTTGAAGATGATGCATATATGTGCTGTCATTTCTGTTTGATATCAGACTGTTTGGGGTTGTGTTGCTTGACACCTTGACCACACAAACACCCAACAAATCTGCAGTCCTTCTACACTTTACACAAGTCATGACCAAAAAGTTTCCAGTGCCCTTGCTGCTCTCCACTGGAAATGTGGATGTCCAAAGATGTAGAAGAGCTTAATTTGATCAAAGAAAACAATCCTCTAGGGCAACGGTTACCACTACTGATAAACATTTGCCCATATGCTAGCTAGCCATGTAATCGCTTCACAGATTCCTAGTTCCTCCGATGGATTTATTAATAAAAGAGATATGAATTCAATCAACTGAGAGAATTTGAATAAGATATGCATGGTGGCTTTACATGCATGTGCACACCATTTTTTCAACTGTCTCATCTCTGATCTCTTGGTGTAAATCATATAGGCGTAATCCATATACATATGGTACTTTACTAGACTCTGTGTAATTAGACTTTGTGTGATACTATATACTTGTGCCATCAGCAGTAGGTTCATACTTGAGCATTACTAGGAAATTATAAAGTTAATTTTAAGGAAAAGTTGGAGAGGTAACCTATAGAAAGAATGGATATGAGTGGATGATGTGGTAGTACTGGCTGGCCAGTTACTTTCTGAACCTCCTTGCCCCAGTCAATAATGAAGAAGATACATTTTGTGATTTGCCAAGACTAGAAAACTAACCATGCATAGCCTGGAAACCGGCATTGTTGGAATCATACTGTGTGTTACTATGTTTCTACCGTCAATACAATGACGTGCCGTTCTACTGGCATGTTCAAGAAAATTAGTTTAGCAATTGTATAAATCTAATTTTTGGCTTAAAAATTGTCTGTTAACTGCTATGTAGAAGTTACAATTTGCTACTGCTATATGGTAAAAACACATTTTCAATTATTCTCAATTACATGTAACTTCCTATGCTTTGTTGGTGAAGATTTAAGTCGAGTTTATCCCCCTGCTCTATCAAATATAGGAATAGGAGATAACTTTGTGAAGACTTTGATTAATTAATTGTTTAGTTGAATTGGACCCACGTACATGTACTATACTATATCTGAATCAAAAGGCATGTAAACAAATGTTCTTGTCAACCTTATCTCACTTCATGTTAATACTAACTCTCACATAAGGCATCCAAATAAAACTTGATGTTTACCCTTTGAATGGTCAGATGATTCTTCATCAGTCCCTTGGGTAATATTACTCTGGTGATTGTATATATTACTGTTTCATGTCTCCATGCATCCACCAGATACAATCCAGAGTCTAGACAACATGGTGAAGCTATATGTACCTAATGTAATTTTTTGTGAAGTGGAATGTAGTATCCCTAATTGTTCATCTTGATCTCCAATAGAAAATAAAAGCAGTCTTCTCTTGCAATTTTTTCATTGCTTAATATTTTACATCCCCATGTTTAACATTATCTTGAGTGTGCTCATCCATCTTGTGTCATGTGATGTTACGAGTCTCATGTTGTGTCAGCTAATGTTTGGTTTTCATTTTGTGTTCTCAGGAGTCGTACATCTTAGGGAGTCATGGTATGCTTGTTTTTTCTAATTAATTTTTATCAAAGAATCAAATTTATTATGTTTGTTTTCTCTACATATTTGTTATGTTGAATAAATCTAGATCTACAATTTATAGATATAAAGGTGATGCATACATATATGTGATTTCATGGCTGTTGGGACCAGAATGTTTGGGTTTAGGTTGATTGACAACACATACACCCTACAAATCTGCAATCATTCTACACAAGTCATGGCCCAAAAAATTCCAGTGCCCCTCTTGCTGTCCACTGAACATGTGGATATCATAAGTGCTCAAGAGCTTCGATCAAAGCAAGAACACTCTAGGGCATAGTTGCGACCCCTGATAAGGCAGAGGCATTGTTGAATCAATGAAGCACGGTGAAGAATTTCAGAATTTAGACGAAGATAATGTCTATCAGTCACAGTCATAGCACTACTATTGAATCAACTAATACAATGATCTCTTGTGGTACAGTGGTAATGTTCAACACCAAAATACATGAACTAGAATATACATAGTTCAAGAAGGCTGCTTTCATGAGAGAGGTCAAAGAATGTGCCTTAAATGAGATTGCCAATTAGTCATAGTCATAGTCATTGCACTTTGCTGAATCAAGAAATACGATGCTTCCTCAATATTGTGTTATTGCTAGTCAATTCCATCGAATGTTGGGTTTTTTCTAGCCTTGAGCTGGGCTCTTATTTAACTACCACCACGCACAACCTGAAAATCACATACATACATAGTAGTCACATAGAAACAATACCAAACATACCAAGCTCAACTAGTACCAGGTTTTGCTCTCTTCATTGCCTTATTATCAGAATATATATGGCTATGGATATAGTGTTATCGGTGTTGGCAAGTGAGATTGTAAGCCGTTCAATCTCATTAGTCATTGCTAAGTACCATGAGCAGAGCTCTATGGATAAGCTTGCAAGGCTGGAGCAGGTGCTCCTTAGAGCGCACACCATTGTTGAGGAAGCTGAGTGCAATGCAAGCACATATCCAACCAGGGAATGATCCTGCTACTGAGGCAGCTCAGGAAGAACATGTACAGAGGCTATTATGTTCTTGACACCTACAAGAGGCGTGGTGCTACGGTGAGCCAACCCTTAAACTTCAAGAAACTCCAGGTTGTATTTGAGAATCTAGAAGATAGCATCGATAATATGAAAGAATTTGTTATGTTTCCCTCACATTTTTCGGCAACCATATATTACACATTTGCTTATGGAGAGGAGCATGTTTGGTCGGCATGCAGAGAAAGAACAGATCATTAACTTCAGAAGGGAAGTTAGAGGTGCTGCGATGGCAATCTACAGTACTCCTTATCGCTGCTAACATTGCGAGCTGTGAGGTTCAGGATGCTTAGCAAGTCATGATGCCTAATGGGAATATCAGAACTTCAGAAGAGAAAAAGGCAGGTATAGAAGTCGGTTTTCTAGAAAGGAAAAAATACGGTTTTTTTTTTGCTCTTTTCAGGCGTCCAATGCAACCTAGTTATGTTATTACTTTTATCTCAACCTAGTTATGTTATTGCCAAGTTCTTTAATGTTTTATTCAAGTTAAATTGCTGAAAACCTCTGCTTTTATTTGTACGTAATCACCTTGTTTGGTGGTGCCATCAAACTAAATACAGGGTGGCAAGGGTAAAGGAATAGGAGTCCTGATCCGCTTGGAATTTGGATATGGGAGTTGTAGCATCGGACGGCTCCTGGGCTTTATAAGCAAGGAGAGGCTGTGAGGGCAGGGGAAAAGTCACGGCCTTCCATCGACTCGTTTTCCTCATCAATCATACCGCCGTGTGCCGCAGTTAGCTAGGGTTTCGTTTCGTCGCATCCGCATCAGCTATTCAGCTTTGGATCGATCGATCGATGGCATCTTCCGAGGCTGAGAAGATGAAGATGATTACGTTGAGGAGCTCTGACTCCGAGGAGTTCGAGGTGGAGGAGGCGGTGGCGATGGAGTCGCAGACCATCCGCCACATGATCGAGGACGACTGCGCCGACAACGGCATCCCGCTCCCCAACGTCAACTCCAAGATTCTCGCCAAGGTCATCGAGTACTGCAACAAGCACGTCCACAACGCCACCGTGGACACCACCAATGCTTCCGGGGGCGGCGAGGACCTCAAGAGCTGGGACGCGGAGTTCGTCAAGGTCGACCAGCACTACTACAGAAATTAACTGTAAGGGCAGCTCTAGAGCTTCTGTAGGGGCGGCTGTGCCAGCCGCCATTCCCAGTGTGTTTCTACAGAGGGTGCCTCTGTAGGGGCGGTTTCCTGACTGCCCCTGCAGTGACATTTGTAGGGGCGGCTGGTGTTTTCAGCCGCCCCTACAGTGCCCTCTATAGGGGCGGCTGGTAATATCAGCCGCCCCTGTAGTGGACTTCTGTAAGGACGGCTGTATCACCAGCCGCCCCTGCTGTGTGTATTTGTAAGGGCGGTTCAATCAAGAACCGCCCCTACAGTGGATTTTTCAGCAAAAAAAAAATAATTCAAATTCAAATCTAACCATATATATATACACACACACACATCCAGATCGGTAGTCAGCCACAGTTAAAAAACCACATGTCCAAATTCATTCACAGTTTCTTAATCACAAAAAAACCCAAAAAAAATCCATTTCATCTTGAATCAGCAAGGAGGTATGAATAAGATTGATATACATACACTAAGGCTGACTAAATACAGCAGAACTAAGGTTAATCAAGATATGGAGGGCATTGTTCCCCGCTGATGAGTTCTTCTGTGACTGCTGCTTTCCTGATATTTCTTGATTTTTCAATCTTTCTTGTGACTGCACAATCTGCAAATAATTAAGAATACACAATTAGATATTGACGTATGGTCACTATACAATTAGCACAAAGAAAAAACTGTAATGCTGCAAGTCTTCAGGATTCTTACTAACCAATATACAATTGGACACAATGTTGTTGTTTTTTTAAAAAAAAAATCTGACAAGTGGAAAGTTTGCAAAGGTAAGTGATAATACATGTAGAATTTGTCAGACCATGATGTATCCTAATATAGAGCAAGAGGGAAGTTAACAGGCTCAGAACTATATATGAATCCTGCTGCACAGATATTGTATCAAATTCGACAAAAGGAGCTATGTGA